CCATTACTTCGATCACATCACTTAGTTTGATTACTTCCATTACTTCGATCACATCACTTAGTTTGATTACTTCCATTACTTCGATCACATCACTTAGTTTGATTACTTCCATTACTTCGATACCTCCATTATTCGATTCCTACATTATTAACTTACTTGTATTACTTCATTGTTCGATTACTTCATTATTCACTTGTATTACTTGGGTTACTACGATTACTTTATTATTCACTTGTATTACTTGGATCACTACAATTACTTTATTATTCACTTGTATTACTTGGATCACTACGATTACTTCATTATTCACTTGTATTACTTGGATTACTTCATTATTCACTTGTATTACTTGGATTACTTCATTATTCACTTGTATTACTTGGATCACCTCGATTACTTCATTATTCACTTGTATTACTTGGATCACCTCGATTACTTCATTATTCACTTGTATTACTTCGATCACTACGATTACTTCATTATTCACTTGTATTACTTCGATCACTACGATTACTTCATTATTCTATTACTTCATTGTTCGATTACTTCATTATTCACTTGTAAAACGTCGATCACTACGATTACTTCATTATTCACTTGTAAAACTTCAATCACTACGATTACCTCATTATTCACTTGTATTACTTGGATTACTATGATTACTTCATTGTTTGTCTGCTTCACGGTTGCCGCGCATTCTTTTGCAGACGGCGTGTGACGTGCACGTTGGATTCCTCGCCCTGTACGAGTTCTCCCGCGCGTCCAGCCGCCTGCCCAACGTGCGTTGCCGCGGCGACGCAGCCGAGCTGACTCGCCTCGCGACGCAGATCAACGGACGCATGAAGGAGCCGGTAAGTCGGACGTCCGCCGGTCGCCACCGTCGCGACAGATCGCAGAGATTCGGTGCAGAATGCGCGGCGGAATCGGGAGCGAATACCCGCGTGCCTGTCGATTCCGTCGCATCGTTTTCACATTCTTGCGAAAAACTATGAGAAAAAGTACATTTCTGTTTTTTTTTTACGGTTACATTTCGGTTTATACCTGAATGATACGGAGTGACACTGCTGCCGGCTCGTAACAGTCCAACTTACGTACGATGTTTCTGTTTTTTTTACGGTTGTGTTTCGGTTTACACCTGCCCTCCCTGCAACACTGCTGCATTATATCTGAACTATGCTTGTAACACTGGTGCGTATCAACTCTAGGTAGAGAAGCTGGATGAGGAGCTACTGGCAGCCATGTCTTACACTGCGCAGGGAGCCTTCGGCCCCCTGGCGTGCGCCATCGGTGGCATCGTCGCCCAGGAGGCACTGAAGGCAGTCACGGGAAAGTTCTCGCCGCTGCAACAATGGGTGAGTGGCACGCGCGTGTGCGCGATATCCGTGGAGATACATGTACATACACTACATACACTAAATTGGTGTTATATATACAGGGGCTATATTATAAGAGCAAAAAAGGGGGTCCAACGACTCATCGCGTTATATCTGAATTCGCGTTAAAGCGGGGCTTGTAAAATCGGGGTTCCACTGTATATATATATATATAGGGGGTATTACAGTGGGTATGCACCTCTGAGACTGGGGTTAGTCGAGTGTAGATATATAATAGGTATTGCTACATGATGTGCCGTATTGTTGCTTATCAACAGGCTATGTGAGTAGGTCACGCGTACAGTCCAGAAAGTTTGAGAGAGTTTGCGGGGCTGTTACTCAAGCTACTCTGCATTGCCTGTTCAACGTCCGTCTTGTGCTGAAGTTACCTCAGTCTAAACAACGGGGCTAAGATCACACCAAATCGGCAGAAAGATAGGTTTACAACCGACCAGTAACTATTATGACAATACAACTAAGAAAATATATATATACAAGGAGCTAGCGGGAGCATACAAGCAGCGCGATTACCATCTTCACCCGAGACATCCAGCACATCGGAAGCGATAAATCAGAGGGTAAGATAGAATCAGAGAATTCACCAAATATATAGCATGTTCACCATGAAATACATTAAAAGTACAGACAGTGTGTGCCTAACTCTAGTGCGGACTCTAATCAACAGCTCAATGCTGAGAGGTCTCCAGAAATATATCACACACAAATGAATACACACCAGATCATGAAAATTTAGAGCGTACACAGCACACCCACGTGCCGCAGCAGACCAAGTCGCGATTGAGCCCGCAAAGTGGACGGGGACCTGTTCATAGAAGCATTCTAGCGTAACCTAGTGTCGAGCAATATAATTCGTGTGGCGTATGGCCACTCCGGCAAAACAATCACCTAAGATCAGTAAGAGCGTGATCCAAGAAGTATTACTGCGAACCTGATTACTAATGAAGAACCACTCATGCCATTCTATATAATAAGGTCATCGGAGCGGCCGGCGAGACTCAACAGGACATCCAAATCCATACAAGTAAATGAGAAATAGATATCGTGAAAGTGATAAAGACTACAACACATCACATAGGCCCCCGTTGCTAAGCAACATACCGGCCTATACACCAACACCTAACAGATATACCTAATAATACCCACACACACACATCACACCATCCTCTCTATCCTCGGTTTCCAAGCCATATCCTTTATCATAACCACCCTTTGTCCGATCCCCCGCTCAGCCACACACCACTAACACCCATCTATACACAACACAATATTCCTCATACTGTCCACTTCATAATATCATAGCTCCCCTCCGTCCCCTCCACACACGCCGCCAAACCGCGCTTTTCGCGATCTTCGCTAATCTCGACCCAGCACTCAGTCAACCGCACACACACAACACACTCACAGCGTCCTTACCACTCGCACACACATGCTAACATCACAATATCGTCCTACGAACAACAATTCTGGAAGACACCCTGCATACATTCAGCCACTAATACCACCGCAGCCACGCAAACAAGTAACTATAAGATAACTTGCAAGACTAAAGTCTATACGCCTGCCAATTATAAGGGTCTCTTACAGTCGGACTAGACAGTCAACATTTAACCAAGCACCTAAATATAATATCGAGGTCAATACCGCCTGCACTAGACAACAAGTACCTAACTGGCGTAGCGACCAGTCCATGTCTTTCAATAGATAAGGTTAGCAAGCGACATAACCAAATCACTAAGTATGATATCAGAACAGCTAATCAGCAGACCTATAATACAGTAGGTTTAACAATGGTATTACAGTGTCGTACTTGCAAGCGACGACTAATCGTGAGTGCGGTCATTCGTTCCGCCGCGCGACTCTTCATGTCAGCGGTTTCACGTCGCTTGCGAGTGCGACGCTTACTATCTTTCTAGAGAGCATATATTAACAACTATATTCAAATCATGCCCATTCGTTATTCCGCTCGGTGGGGGGAGTCATCCACGCTGTGCTAAAGTCATCTCACACACATAATCTATATCTTCTGGACTGTGTAGCTTGATACACATTGTTAGTTTATATCAAAATACTCTCAGTCGAGCAAGTCTTATATCATTTCGCTAGTGTCTCTTCGGCGTATATTCCATGTGACACTAGTTTAATGCTGTAGAGGTCGTGCTAAATAGTGTTCATGTGGTAGCACGTGCACTAGAATTCCATTCTGCTAGGGCTATCGGGCGCTTATAATACTCTGTGCGAGGCTCGTAGTTACACACACAGACCTGACGCCATCAGCACCGCGCTACTCGACGGACGGCACAGCCATGCGCTATTCCCGCACCCCTATTGTGGCATCCCCACGACAACCGGCCCACCACATGTTCCTCGATAGTTATGGCATAAGCCTATAAAGGACTCTCTCTCAGAAGATTCACAAAAAAAAATCTTTGTAGTAGCATCGACGCACTTCATCACAGCGAGCATAAAAGTATCCTCTAACTTTGTCTGGCGACGTCTCAAAATAAAGTCATCGGTACTCGCGTTAGAGCAGCGCATCTTGCTCCAAAACAACGACAGCCTTATTGGCGGTCACAGGCAGGGTTGCGCTCGCGCTCCCCCCACATGGTGCGCACGTCATCTACGTATGTTCCTCCGCGCTCTCACGACAGTATTCTGATAGGCGACCATTAAAGAATCGCGGAAACAGCTCAGCTCTCTTCGCGTCCAGCAGACCGCTTCAGGAAGAAATTACTATAAGCGGGGCGGGTCATGAACCCAATCTAGACAGCGAGGATCTTCTCATCACCGTATCTGCAGCTCCGCGCTCCGCGTGCTAAGAGTCGCTTCCTGATATCAGCACCTTTACACCTTTCTGTGCGTTCTCGATCCATCCACTTAAGAGACCCTAGCACAGTGACGGACTGACCATCAGCTCGCTGTTCCTGTGTTTCTGCTTAGCGGCCCGGTCCTCGCACAGAATGGATCAAACGGCTTATGGCAATACTGGACTTGAGGCATCGTAATACGCAGCATCCAATGAACTTTCGGTACGTCAACGTACGAATCACAGATCAATAATAATTCCACATTGCACATACTTATTTCTCATTCAATATATCAAGGATGACTGTTAAACCAGTCGCCAAAATAACATATATGTATGATATTCATTATGTCACAGTTCTTGCGAATAGTAAATTATCAATTATGTATTGGATGGATGATCTCTCGAAAAGATCTCCAGATCACACACACTCCTCCGCTACGAATTCCATGTGGCTGGACTACTCATGCGTGGAGCACCTTCGTGAGAACGCCGGTCAAAATGCTGCCATTCGCCGGCTGTTCATGGTGGGCTGTGGAGCCATAGGTGAGGCGAGCCACTAGGTGGCGCCGTCGAGTGTGCGAGGGTTCGCGAATCTCCTACTGTGTCGGCGACCGCACGGTCGATCGTCCGGACCGAAAATGCCGCGACCCGACGAGGCGGCATCTATTGCTTGTGGGCGGAGGCTATCGCGCGCCCGGCGCGCCCCTCGTTAATCTTGCTGCCGGTTATTGCTATTCACATTTTCACACACATTTTCGCACCTTGCACAGGCTTCCTACTGGGGCCGCAGCCGCACGATCGGTCGACCGGCGCAATGAATGCCGTGTCACGTCGAAATGCGAGCGGCATCCACTCCCAATCCCATCATATATTAGACACTTAGACCCATTGTTACACCTTATACCAGCTGCCCGCACCCCCGCCCCTCGTTCTCAGCTCCCCGCCCGACCCCCCCGCATTTTCTCTCGCAACTCGCCGACGAGAGCGATCGATGTAAATCCTCAATAGCAAAACGTCCGTGGGCTGGTAGCGAAAACACACTTCGCACCCCGCAGCGATAACTTGAGGCGGACACCATGCGAATTTATCTCAGCACAGACGTCCTAGCCAGAGTAAACACTACCATCGCGACTAGCGGCGCACCACACGCTCCACCATGGCTACCTATAGAGTCATTCGTGGCATACGTTTATTCGCTATTGCAGTACTGATCATAATGATTCGTCTAGCTGCATCATCTATACAATCAAACGCGTCGAAACCGGAAATTGCAGCTATTCCGATAGTAGATATTCATCGCCAACCGGAGTCAGCCAGGGTACCCTCGCTAACTGAGTGTCACACTCAACAGTTGGCAACCTGGGGACAAAGACTTACTTCACAACCATCAGGCCTAATCACTATGTACATACTAGTTACTACTAGTAAACTACACACACCTACTACTACTACTAGTCAATAGCAGGAAATAGGGCGATCGGGTCATGTCCGCCCACAAGGTACGCCAGAACGTACCCGGGTCTACGATATTCGGCTGGACTAAAATACTACCAAGTACACCCTAGAGGGAGCGGGTCATACAATCAACGGGCGATCAGCGGATAATAAATCTTAGATGGCGGATGGTCTATTAAAGCCGCTTGGGGAGTCGAAAGATTAGATCACCTACAGCGTATCCACACCGAGTTACAAAAAACGGCGAAGTGACACGCCACTTGGCTTAGGGTGCGAGCGGTCCGGGCACCAGAGGGGGGGGGGGTCCACTCTTAAAGAAGTACATGTATCACACTCTCCGAGGCATAATACACTCAGTGTAAATCGAGCGGCACACCTGGACATCTCAAAATCTAAACGGCTCGCCGAGAGCTCGCATACGCAACGGTGTACAAATTAGTACTTCTCATGCACATGGGTAGGTACGACAAGAGGCCACCAGCTGGCGATCATATCCCGCCAGCAAAAGATGTGCGCGCGCGGAAATAGAAAATATTCGCACGCTCACCCGCAGCAGATAGACCGTCGAAGGAGTCACATAGGCACCGGGCAGATTACATCATCTTCGACAGGACAAACACCAATGTGCTGAGGAAGCCCGATAATTGAAAACACTTTTGTTTCTCAGAGCTGACCTACGCATTTTGTAGGCTCTACGTTGAAAGCGACCATACAAGTAACTCCGCTGACATCGAAGAGCATAACGTGTCGGACAACCTTTGACTCTCCAACAGAGGGTACAACATGATCTGTTACTGTAGTACAAAACTTTTACTGCCTCTGCAGAGTAACACACTACCGTCGTTCGCCTAACAGAATCGATTAATACATAGCTTGATGTCAGAGCTACATGTCACCAGAGCGAGCTGTAATTCTCAAAAGCTCACAATTGGCTGGTCTGAAAGAAGAGTGTTATTACCTCTATAAATCGTATTGAATTCATCTGTAGAGGCATCCACGCTCGTACCTGTCATAGCGAAGTGCAATATACTACGCGCAACTGTTAAATGCCACTCACAACCAGTGGACACCGCGACGAGACACTTAGTGAGCGCAAATGATGGTTGCTGAGACACCATAGCCTACCCAAGGGTACCCGCTCGCATAAAAGTTGCACTCGCCATCTAATTAGTTCCAGGGCAGCTACCTCTATTCCTCAGACCTTAAGCGTGCGTGGGACATTATGACATACTCATACAAATCAGCCTAGAGGTACATGATGATGCACTACTATCGTCTTGTCAAAATAGTATTCACTTCACATCATACTCACTACTATACGAAGAGCGCCCAGCTTATCCATCTATTAATCTCTAAGCACAAACTAAACTAAACCTGATCAACCATACGTAGCTCGTGGCATCATACGGGCTATATCCTCTTCCATCAACGACGTCCCAACGAACATTCCTAAATGAACGCGTCCTGAAATACCATCCCTCGGCCTTCCACTTCTTCGCCGTATCCCGAACACATCTGAGACTAACAGCATTCTAGCGAGAAGCGCCACCACTCCACGACAGAGTCACCGCAGCTAAACGTAAGAGGAGCGCTGTACGCTCTTCTGGCGGGCCACAGAACACTGCTTAGTCAACCCTGGTACTAACATCCACCAACACTTTCCTATAAATTCAGAGCGCGCCACTAGCGCTACAAAAGCCATCCGGTCCGGCGAGTTTCATACGTGCTAACCTAAGGGGTTTACCTGACGGATCTGACCAACGAGCATCCTCTTCCAAATCGCGGCGCCGCGAGCCGCGAAGCGACGCAACTCTTAAAACTCACGTGGCCTTGCTAGGGTCGCAACGGGCGCGGATCCGGGCAGCCGCAACGACGCGGCGGGTCCCATCCACGACACCCGCCGTACAAACGATCGACGCCACTGTCATAAGCAGAAGATTCATATCTCCAACCGCACGCGACCGTCAAGTCTCCCTGTTCCGCGAGTCCTAGCTCACCAATCAATCCGAAGTCCGTAGAGAAGCGTACGCCGGAGCGGCCTGCAACGCCACGCACTGCCTCCCAACTTCGCCAACCCCGCCACATGAACTCAACTGCTCTAATCCCCCCGCCGAGAGCTCTAATCCCTTAATCCCCCCTAATCAGATACTTCGCTCAGAGGTGGCCTACGCATAGCCCACTCGCGCGAGTGCCTCCGCCCACAGGGTACGCGCTCCGAATCCGGTTACCGCGCTCCCCTAGGACCCATACCCCGGCGGTTGAGGCCTCTACCGGCACAGTATCGGCCCAGCTACCGGGGACATACTCTACCGCCCACTCCCGGCGCGACATGGCCATTGAGCCAGTAGTAGCTCCCTACTCACTCACTACTAGCGTCGAGCGAACTTCCGACATAGGTCCGGAGCCGTCGCCCGAACTACTCACGCGCAGAGCTACCTTAAGTCAGTAGTAAGCTAACCTAGTGAGTGAGAAATCGCTAGTCTCACGTAGCGGACCAACTTCGCGGTAAGGCCCTGATCCCCCACCCGGCGTGCCTCTAACCCACTACGCTATAAGCCCTTCTTCACATCCGACACATCGCCAGGGATTTGCCACACACTGACCTCACTAACTAATACGGGTCTAGTATTAATCAAAGACCGACGCTCTTGCACGGCGTAGCAGACCATACTATATTCAACTCATACTAATAGGTACCTTATTTTTCAAGAATACCCTTGCCCTGGCTCCGACAAAGCGCGGGTGCTCCTGCCCCGCCAGCTACGGTTTGCGCCGGCCTCCGGCGCTAGCCGAGTAGGCGCTTCTGCCGCACACCAAAAGCACGCTGAACTGCGTAATCTCGCGTACAACTATCGCGCGCGGAGTCCAAGATCTCTTACCCGGCGCATATGCATCCGCGACACCGACCAGCGCGCTCTTACCCAACCCGCCACACGCGGGTTCCTCCCCATCTGCCGGTGGCCTTTATCCTGCCCACGGAGGTCCATATCCCTCTCCAAGGCGGCGTCTATGCCAACCCCCAACAATGGCAGCGCGCGGTCCCCCTCTCACAGGGGAGCGCCTTTTCTCGCCTCACTAAGCGGTTTGCTGTCCCCCAAACTGGCCGTTCACGCCTATCACCACCACAAGCGGTGCCTTCCTATCCAACAAAGTAGCTCTTCCCCACACAGAACAGCGGTGCAGAATACCCCTGGCAACGACCGCGGTGCTGCCCGCCAGGGCTGGCTCCCTCCCCCACGGCGACGGTACCTCACCGAGGCGCGAGCCTCGCCCCTACACGCGAGACTGTCATTCACCCCTCACGGTCAGGAGCTATTCCCCCCTACCGACGAGAGATGCTCTCCCCCACAAGGCACGCGAGATCCCCCCTAGACAGCGGAGTGCCTACCCCGCACGGCTGGCGTGCTATCCCCGCTCCTACCCAGCGGAGCGTACCTTCCCCCCACGGCTGGACACGTTTCCCCACCCGGCGGTAGCCCATCCACCTATCCGACGTGCGAGTGCGCTTCCCTGAACACTATGTGAAATGGTGACGTGTCGCGCGGGCGCCTCCTCCACGCAGGGCGGCGGGCGCCTCCCCCACGGCGAGCCTGTCTCCTCCTGCCCAGTTGAGCGGGTTGCCTTCCCCGCTCATGGTGCCGTGCCCAGTTCACTACTACTGGCGGACGCCATTAAGCCGCTGAGCATTATAGCCCATGTAAGTGGCGGCATGCATGCGTTTGCGGCGCCCTGTTGTGCGGTGCGGTTTTCTTGCGTGCGCACCTTGTGCGTGCTGTTCTCCTGCGCATGTGTGCGGCACCTGATACACCTTGCAGACGTCCTGTCGAGTTCTTCCCACAGGTTCGGCGCTCGCTCCTACCATCATCGTAGACGTCCTGGTTTACATGAATCAACACTCTGGTAAATGTATATGTGGGCATGTTAGTACATGAGTGCTTAGGGATATATGGAACATAGCGGGTGCCTAGGTGTCTCACATGACGTCGCGCAGAATAATTATAAGTGTTATAGTGTCAGAATACCCGCATCCATCTTATACACCATACCACATTGAGACACTCTCGAGTAGTCGAATCTAAGCGGCTCTTCCTATCACTCTTCCTCTCTCGTCGCCTCCCGCGTCCGCGGCGCGTTGCTGTCTCTGGTGTGTGTGCCTCTTCGAGTAGTTCGGTGATCGCGTTCTGTTTCGCGTCAGTGTCTCTCTGTCTCGTCGTAATGTGGTTCGTGTCTAGTCGTCTCTGCGCGTGCTCTCTCCTCGCGTGCGTGCTGCGTCTGCGTGTGGCCTGTGTGTCGGGTGCTGTATGTCTTGCTTCCGGTCGTGCGTTGCGCTCAGTGCTTGTGTGTGTGGTCGTGTCTGTGTCTCTGTCGTGTGCTGTGTCTTGTGCGTTCGGCCCCTGCATATACGAAGTACGTAAGTGCGCTCTGGTTCTCTCCTCTCTCCTCTCTCTCTCTCTCTCTCTCTCTCTCTCCTCTCTCCTCCTCGTCTCGTTCTCCTCTCTCTCTCGCGGTGCTCGCTCGGTCTCCTCCTCTCTCTCTCTCCCTCGCCGTCCTCTCTTCTCCTTTCCGCTTCGCTTTCTCTCCCCCCCCCCCCTCCCCCAATCCTCTCTCTCTCCTCCTCCTCTCTCCGTCCTCCTCGCCACCCCCTCCCAGTCACCTCCCTCCCTCCTCTCCTCCCTCTCTCCCCCCCTCCATCTCCTCCATTTCTCTCTCTCACGGAGCCCCTCTTCTCCTCTTCTGCCCATGACATTCACAGCCAAAATCTAACCTACTGACGCTTGACATTTCTAGACGTGTTCCGATTGATCTTGCAGATCGAGAAAACACACAAAGCGGCAGAACACCATTACAAATATGTATTAAATAATGTAAAATTGAAATCGATCACACCAGCTCATAATGCATACACATGCTAGTGTTGTCCCCCTGTCTCGCTCACTAACTAGCGTCGTTTGCTTTGCGCATGTGCAGAAATCCAAGAGCGTCGTGGGAGCGGACGCGGCGCGGCAGATCAACCCTCAGCTGCAGATACTCGCTCAGCAGAACAGAGGTGCCTAGATGCGGACGATGATGACGATGATGACGAATATTGACGATAAGAGATGATGATGACAATATTGACGATAACCGAGATGATGATGATGACGATGACAATGACGACGACAACGATGATGACGATGATACAGAACAGAGGTGCGTAGATGCAGACGACGACGACGAGCCGATAGATGAATGAGACGATGACAATGAGATGATGAACGATGAGTGCTAATGACGAAATGAATGATGAGAATGATGACGACGACATACGAGAGACATGATACAGAAACATGTGGTAGATGCGGACAGATATCATGAGAGACGATGACATGGATCAGACGACGAACGCCGACACTACCGACATGACAACGATGAGGACGATGATGCAGAACAGAGGTGGTATACACCGGACGAGATCTGATCAATGCCGATGAACGACGCGGACCGACGACGACCTACCAAATGATGATGACATATGCAGTACAAAGTGGTAGAACGCGGACAGACGACCGACGACGAGATATGATTATGATGATGATGATGACGATGATGCATACAGAGGTGGGTAGATACGGACGACGACGGCGACGGCGACGGTGACGGTGACGATAGCGGAGGTGATGATGACGGCGGCAATGATGATGCTGATGACGAGGACGATGACGACGACGAGAGTGTCAGCTTTCTCCTCTGTTAGTCTGCTTCTTCTATCCTTACAGTGTGCCTCTCAGAGCGAGCAAGCGTTCAGTCTTCCTCTTCTCTGCTTGCAGTGTGCTCTCAGAGCGAGCAAGCGTTCAGTCTCCTCCTTCCTCGCTCCTTACAGTGTGCCCTCAGAGCGAGCAAGCGTTCAGTCT